ATCTATTCAGAAAAGTGAACAGTTAGCCCTACCCTTTGCTTCTATTTTTTAACCAGCTCTCATTCCACAAAAGGACCTTCTCTCCAGTCCTGTGGCAACAGTTTTCTTAAAAGCCTTTGGCAACGGACCTCATTCAGAGCTTTTGAAAGTCCAGCTATATTATGTCAACTGAATCCCCCTTGTCAGTGTGCTTATTAACACTCTTAAAGAAATTGAGTAGATTGGTGAGACAAGATTTCCCTTTACAAAAATCATGCTGACTTTTCCCCAGCAGATCATATTTATCCATGCAACTGCTAATTTTATTCTTTATTATAGATTCTACCAACTTGCCAGGGATGGAAGTGAGCACTGGATATAAGAGGTCTGTAGTTCCCAGAATCACCTCTGAAGCCCTTTTAGAAGATAGGTGTTATGTTGATGATGCACCAATTCTCTGCCACAGAGGTTGTTTGTAAAGATAGGCTACACACAGTTCTCCACTTTCACCTTTGAGTTCATTCAGAACTCCTGGGTGAATGTCAGCTGGTCCTGGTGTTCTTAATATTTAATTTATTGATCTGTTCTAAAACTTCTTTTGTCACTTTAATTATGGTCCAACTTTTTAGACCTATCTACTAGGAAGGTTTCATCTGGCATGGGGATTTCCCCAGTATGTTCTGTGCTAATACCCTGGCCGTCATCTAATGCTCCCACTGATTCTCTAGTTTGCTTCCTGCTTCTGATATATTTAAAAATGTTTTTATGATTAACTTTAGTGTTTTTTGCTAGACACTCTCATATTCCTTTTTTGGCCTGCTTTAGTTCACTTTTACACTTGACCTGCTAGTGTTTTGTGAGCTTTCTTACTTTCTTCACTTCTGCACTCTTGTCATTTTCTGAAGGACATCTCTTTGCCTTGAATAGCTTCCTTAACTCTGCTGTTAAATCATGCAGTGGTTTTATCAATCCACTTGGTGCCCTTTTTGATTTATGTTATGCATTGTTCTGTGTCATTTCCCGTCCTAAAGTTGTATAATGACATGGTGGACTGTTATGTTTACTATTACTGAGCGTCTCACCTAAAGGTAACTCTTGAATAAGGTCCTCTGTGTTACTCAGGATTCAGTTTAGAATTGCTTTTCTTCTTGTGAGTTGCAAGATGAGTTGTTCCAGAATGCAATCATTTATCACATCCTGAAAATTTATCTCCACATCTCGCCATCTAGGAAAGTTGAAGTCTCCCATTATTATTGCTTAGCCCATTTTAGTAGCTTTTCAAATCTCCTTGCTGATTTCATAATGATGTTTGTGTTCCTGACCAGGTGTTTAGTAGTACAAGAGTTGTACTATATTTGTTTTATTCAAGTATGGAATTTCCATCCACAGCGATTCTATGGTAGTTCTCCCTTCAAACAAGATTTTTTATGTTATTACTGTGTATACTAATCTTCACATACAGTGCCACTCACTCCTCCACCTGCATGCCCTATTCAGTCATTCCAATGAAGTTTTTAACCATAACAGTATCCCATTGCTTATCATCCTCCACTAAGTCTCTGAGATGCCTGTTATGTCCAAGTCACAATTTAATACCAGATGTTTTAGCTCATCCATTTTTTTTTCAGGATTCTGGCATTTGTGTAGAAGCACTCACAAATTTTATACTTGCTGATCTGCTTGTCACTGTTCATGCTATCTGACTGGAACTCTAGGGCTAGGTACAGGCATTACACTTTTACCAGAAACTGGTCCATACCCATAACAGAACAGAAATTTGGCAAACATAGGCTAATTTAAAAATGGCAGAATCCAGCCTAAAATATGCTCCCCTGCACCACTCCACAAAAAGGGAATGTGTGCTCTGTTCACTACCAATCCAAACGATGCCACTTACAGAAAACTGCGTAACAGATCAATTCTCCCTCAGGTTTTTTGAATGTCTCTATCTAGTCTAGATGTTATGACTTATCCCCTATTATCTATAGTTATACTTCTTACTCCCCTACTATCCTCTTCAAGACAGTATAGAATCTGTATGATGCCTCCCTTTGGGATTGCATCAACCTGACCTGTGTGCTATTCTGGACCTGCTGGTTTCCCCCCACCTTTTAGTTTAAAAACTGCTCTATGACATTTTTAATTTTTAGTGCTAAAGTCTGGTTTCATTCTGGTTTAGATAGAGCTCATCTTTTCTGTATAGGTTAGTCCTGTCCCATTGTTTAAATGTTTTGTTTTTTCTATAATTTTATTTAAAATAGCTGACATTTTTAAAAGGATGCAAGCAATTTTTTTTAAACTGGCTTTAATATAAATATTTGAAACTATGTAATGAGCCATGCTATACATTGATACAATTTAAATGCCAGATTCCACAAAACGAAATATAGATATTATGCAAATTGCATGCATTAAATCCTATTAATCTCAAAGATATATATTTTATCCTCAGTATTACCATTTAAGAAATGTATCTGTCAATGATGTAAGCACATGCATGTTAATTATAAATAAATTGCATGGAAAAATGTCAGTAAATGACTTTTTGCTTCCTTTTAGCTTAGACAAATTCCTAATGATATCCTTCCAGCCTATATATATTGGAACATCAGATAATTAAGTGTTACAATGTGGTGAGGGAATTTATATTCGTTTTCTCAACCATAGCTCTTCTTTTGGTTTAATTTGTTTGCAGAGCTAAGCGTATGCATGGTCACCTTCTTGAAGGAACACTGTAGTGGAATTTACAATAAAATTACTAGACAAGATTTATCCTTGGTGTGGCTCTTTTAAAGGTCTGTCTAGACTTATAATATTTGACTGGAAAGAAGAGTAAGTCAGTAAAAAAGTTTTAATTTCCTGTCATAAATTGTTAAAAATGATGCAGATAATAGATTGGAGCCCAATGATTACTGTTATTGTCAAAGCACAGGTAACTTAGAAAGTGACTATAGCAGCTAATTGGCGCACAGTACAAAGTGGAGGGAGGTTAAGACATGAGCCAAGACATCTGAATGATGTCCTCCCTTAAGGAAAGTGCCAGGGGATCATTAGGATCCACACAGCATGTTGAGGAGGCATCACACTGGAAATGGGAAAATGAGGAAAGTGGCATAATAAAAGAGGATTGGGAAGGACAGGAGGAATGGATTTACAGTATATAATATTCACCTGCATGTGCCATAGTGACTTTACTATTTAATATTATTGCCTGTTCACTTCCATTGTTGCCCAACAGCTTAAAAAATCTGTTTCCCAAAGAAAAATGTCCATTACTTCTGTAACATTTTACATGTGGCCTAAAGCTATTAGTACATACTAACAGTAAACAGGCATAACTCTGGCATAGTTCAATGGAATTAACCCCTTTCATAGCCTCTAATCTTCTTAATCACTTTCCTATAATTAAATTCACCTTATTCCCCCTTTTCCTGGGCCTATTCACTCTATGTACTGTCAACTGTCTACCTAGTCTGACCTGACCAGTTTTCAGCCATTTATATATCAGCACTCTTGTGAACAGAAACTCTTTACCTGTATCAGGGCCTTCTGTCTTGACTCTCTACAGAACTCAGAGAAAAGAGTTGATTTCAACCTGTTATCCACTGAGCAATTTTGCTGCATGTTAAACAATGAAAATACAGGAATGGATGCATCTAAGTTCCATATTCAGATTTTGACTAGAAATTTCTCACTGGTTAGGAATGTTTGGAGTCATAGTATTGGGTTAGAACACAGTGGAGATACGGGTCAACTAGAAGGTTCAGAGGTGGAGTCAAACTTATGCCAAAACTACAGCCATTTGATCTGAGGTTGAGTCATATATATTTGAAACATGTTAAGATGTACCTTAGGCCATTATTTATTAACTTTAGGTGTATTTTTTAACATATTCTGCCATCATATGATTTGGCCTTGGAATGCCCCAGACCATGATAAAGGTATTTTTGTAGACATGCATTAGCTTTACCATTGTAATATCAGGATGTGATGCATGAAATTCTTATGAGACTATCAAGGGCAACAATGCTAAGCTAAGTACAAGAAAAAAGCTGAAAGTTAAATATGATGAGAGTTTGGACTTTGGACTGTTTTGAAAGGCTTAAATTTACTTGTGCATATGTATTAGCAAAGTCACAGTCAGGCAACAAATATAAATCTAAAAGTAACAATATAAAAGAGAGAATATACGAGAGTAAGAATTAAATGTCCAAGAGTCAGTGTTCTGGATGATAAGATGTGGCTTAATGGGTAAGCCTGTCACTAAAGAAGAAAATCTGTACTACTGTGCTTTTTCCCCCCTTTTTCTTTCGTCAAGGGATGAAATAAAGATATTAGTCCCATTATGATTTCAGTTACCAAGAGCAAAATGTCAAATACAGAGCACTATGACTAAACATGAGAGATTAGTATAGAAAATGTTTATAAAGATATTATCTCCTGAGTGTGTTTCAGCAGAAGAATTGGAGAAAATAACTGTGAGAAGCAGATGGCTACAAGAAGTCTTTAATGTGTTTTGTAAGAAAGTTGTCACAGGTTAGAAGATAGGAATTTGAAAAATAGGTGTGTGCAGTTGAAAAGTAAAGGGAAAAACTGAAAGAACAAAAGAAAATAAACCCAGCTATGAGTGCACACGTCTCAGAACAAAATGAACAAAAATTAATGGAAAAAGTCTGTATCACCTTAGACATAGGAAAATAACAATGAAAAAGCATAATAAAATGTATAGGTGAAGCTTACACCAGAACAAATACCTGTTGAGAACTGTACATAGTTTTTGGATTTGGCATTCGCTTAGTTTTGTTTTCCTTTCCTTTTTCAAATAACACGTGAAGCAATTAAATGTGTTTCTGTGACATTTGCACCCTTTGGAGGGAATTTCATTCTCTGAGACTTATGGGGTGAAAGTCTTATGAGTAATTATTTAATTGTAAGCTAACATATTAAAGCGTATACATGTTATATATATGTTTAGACAAAGTATTTTCACCTAAATTTATTTTTTCTACAATTTTTTAAAGCACAGAACTGTTACACTTCGTAGACAACCAGTTGGTGGCTTGGGCTTAAGTATAAAGGTATGGATAATCCTTTGTTTTATTTTTTCTTTCTAACTTTAGCATCATTAGGGCATGAAAGTGTTAATTACGATTTCATTATTGATGCACCTTTTTTACAGGGTGGTGCTGAGCATAAAGTGCCTGTCGTCGTATCAAAAATATTTAAAGACCAAGCAGGTAAAACATATATTTATACTCAAAGAGGTTTCTGATGTTGTCTACGTGATGTTCTTTACAATGGAATGGGATGTACCTCAGAATTTCAGTATATTTACAGGTCATGACATGGGCATTACAATATTTTTAACCCTTTCAGCAAATGGCTGAAGTCAGTATATGGACAATTCTCTGTGTCAGATTTTAAATAATCTGCAGTTTTAGGAAGGAATTGAGGACTGCAGTTAAAATAGAATTGTAGAGAATGTATCTTTATGACAGTATATGTCACTGTTTTAAAACACTGCACTTAACGTGGCTTGTGAAAAAATAAAAAAGCACTCGACTGACTCACTTTTAATAGTGCAGCAGACAAATAAACTGTGATTATCCTTTTCCTAAAACTAATTTATTACCATTTGATATGCCTATACCTGCCTAGATGCAAATTAGGCAGCCTGAATCAATACTGAATACTTTTTTTGGTAATGCAGTATATAAATTAGTGTAACACAGGGTTGTTCAACCCAGATCTGGCCCATGATGCTATGTCATCTGACCTATGGGACTCCTCACAGTTTGGGAAATTTGGCAGCAGGTGGCACTGCTCCCCTGCTGCCAAGCCTCCAGACCCATGGGGAGTCCCAGATTCTGCGCCCAGTCCCCACACAAAGGGCTGGATAGGGACAGCACCAGGAGCCTAGGATACAAGTCTATTGTGTAGAGAGATGGAAAGGAGTGATGTCAGAAGCCAGGGTGCATTTCAGCCTACAGGCAGTCCCACGCCACTTATGTGGCCCATAGGGCCAAAAGGTAGAGCACCACTGATTTAATACCACACACAGTTAAAGCATTAACCTGAAATCATCTGATTTAGAGAATCTGATTAAGACTTGATGAACTAGTTAATCCCTGAGGGCATAAAGGTGAATTCCAGTTTTAAAGGATACAGAGTAAAATTGTGTCAAAAATATTAATAATGATAAAAAGTATAGGCAATCAGGGTCAAAGACATGGATTATATCCATCATCCAAAGATAATGTTTTCTCTAAAACAAACATGCTTAAGACACTCAAAAACTTAACAGGTTTAGTTAAAAATTGTATGTGTAAGTCAAAAGATAGCCACACAGATCTTGATAATTATACTATCTTTCTGTGGACAAATGTGTATTTTTAATAAAACATGAATGCATGGACCTCTGCATGATGTGGCACAGAGCTTTGCTATAGCTCCAGCAGGCCAAGTTCTATAAATTTTAATATTAAAGCCACTAAAACTTTTTTTTTTAACTCATCTGTTAATTGATGTAGGAACAGCCCACTCTTTGCTTTTCAGCTCTTATTAATCCTCATTACATTTTCACTCTACCCAGCTGTTTGCTGCTCATTTCATATACTTTCTGAAAGTGCTGTGCCTCTAAAAGCAGCCTTGAAATTAACAGGGCTAATAGTGTAGCCCTGACAGGTTGAGAGGGGGTAGAGTCACCCACTACACATCAGGGAATATTCTGAATGTCAAATAAGCATATTACATAAGGAGTACCTGGTATTGCATGTAGTAGAAGGAAATGGCAGAACCTATATTCAGCAAATAACAGAGCAACTTACTAGTACAGTGTGTGTTGGATGCAGTGGATATGTACTGCCTTTGATAGCTGAAGATTAGATTCCTTAGCTCAACCAGTGTAAGGAGGCAGGTGTAAATAGGGTATTCTGGCTGTGTGCTTCACAATATGATTCCATCTATCATGGACTACTATAAATCAGCACAATAGGAAATGATTTTGGTGCCTATTACAAGATAGGATGTGTCAATCCAGCAAAGCTCCTTTCATGAAGTATTTGATGGGTGCAAATGCTGAATGGTACCTCTATTGTCAACATTTTCCTTTTAAAACAGATGTCCCTTTGTAAGAATGCAAAACTGTACAGCCCCTCACCCCCAATAAAATGGATAGCCAAACCTTTTACATTCCAGAGTATCTCTGCATAAAGGAAGAGTTAATCTGGGGTGGGAGAGGGGGAAGCAAAGCAACAAACAACTCCCTCCCCCTACAAAAAAGAAGCCCATCTACAGTTCTTTCCTACAAGTGTCAACACTTGCAACTAAAAAAGATTATATTTAATAAACAATTTAAAACTTTAAGAAAACTTTAACTTTATAGTTATGATATGGCTTGGTAGAGTTGGAAGACAGTACAGGATCCTGTACATTGTAGATAGGTAGGCACATAGTTTGTGTATATTGGCACAATCTAAGACATGCAGTTAGTCATGCAGGCTATGTCTCTATTTCTGTTCTAGGGCTGACCCTTTCTATCTGTAAGGGAGACAGAAAGAGAGAACAGCTTCTAATATACTTTAGATTAGAAACTAAAACAGTTTATAATTTTTTATTGGGTAGCTGACACACGAATTATTTCAGATTTCACACAGGGAGTTGTCAGGGATGGAAGGGAGAATGAGAAAAAAATTGACCAGTCTCAAACAAGGTTTCTGAATGAACAATCAGATGTGAATCAGTCAAACAAAGGAATTGCTGTATTCCAGGTGTTGCTAATGGCAAAATTGACAGCCTCACTGGAAATACAACCTTGAGGAGAGTATTAAGATGAGCTATGACTTGAAGCAAATTAATTAGGAAGGCTCATATCATATAATAACTTATGTATTACTGTAAAGCCACTGGATTGATGATTTGAAAATTAACGAAGTGATGTTTTTGAGGAATTTTGATTTATTTTGTTTCCTCAAGCCAAATAGCCTACATTTTAAGGGAAAGTTATACCTCATTAGCAATGGCATTAATTTCCTACTGTTTATGATGGTGTTTGATTTTCTCTTCCCTGCAATTTGAAGGATTTAACACCCTTTTCCTGAAATCTATATAGATTTTAATGTCTCTGCCAATATCGTCTGAAGATGTGCTTCTTTCTGTTGATACAGCATTTTGCTTATCAATGGCACTTCATATTCAGACTGAAAATGTACAGTGCTGTTCTCTTGTTTAATCCATGAATTTCCTCAGCTAGTTGAATTATTAAGTGTCTTGGTGCTGCATTTAGTTTCAAGCTCAGAATGCAATCAGGGAGAGGGGAAATATTTCAAAAGCATTGACCTCATAGACAGTTGAAGGTATTTCCATTCTAACTATTGTGATAATATAGAATTTCTAGTTTCCATTGAATCTTGTTACTGATCTTAAGAGCTCAGATGTCAACAAAGAAAAGAAATACATTTCCTCCACCTTCATCTGGAAAGGACACTCCTTTCTGATGAGGGCCCATAATTTGTGATCATTGTATTTGTAACATCCAAATTAAATTACTCTAATTCAATGCAGAATTGAATATGGCTTTCACAGAGATGTTCCTCATGAACTGGCCAGTTCATAAGCAGAATATTTTTATGATTTTTTATTTTAAAAATAGAGTGATAGGCACCCACCCACTGCTCTGATTACCCAATTGATAAATTAATATATTTATCCCATCCATGTTCTCCTCAACAACCTTAACAAAAAGGGAAAATATTGCTAGTGTTTCATGTTCTCCATTGAGTCTTCACCCAGGTCAGGATTCTTACCCCAGTATTTAAAACCCTTGATGGCCCCCGTCTTAGGTGCCAAGTTTCCATCCTGCCTACCATGCTCCGCTTATTATACAGGTCATAGAAGCTCTCAATAGCTGAAATGAATATGAGCTGGAGGCAGAAGACTTCGTATTCTTAATACCCTTTCTGAATAAGAACCCCCCCCCCCCCCCCCTAAATATGGATATAATCATTCCTAGTAAAAGTAATGTATGTGTGGGAGAGCTTAGCCATGAGAGTGCACTTTCATTAAATGCTATAGAAATGTTAATTCAGCATTCTCTGCATAGATATTTGAGTGAATTCATTTTATACAATGCATTGATTAGATGGGAGTATGTAAAATGATTTGAGGGAAAATGAATGTTTTTGTCCAAGCAAAAGTATGGTAAATGGAAAGAAAATAATGTTTATAAACTGACAGTGAAATATTATATTGCAGAACCCCCGTGGGCATTATTAAACTGTATCTCTCCACTGATTAAGGAAATGGTTATTGTCATAAGCCCAACCCAAAAGCAGGAAGGATTTGAGGGTTTAGTGCATCTCAGTTAGAGATATTTGCCCCAAGTTTGATTTAACTAACCTAACATTTGATCTCTTTCTAAGCTAATGATAAACCGTATTCATTTGTATCATTTTTTCATATATAGATCAAGTTTTGAATGTGTCTATTTCTGCAATTTTGCAACATGGCTGAACTGAAAAGTTATAGTCAAGTGAGGTAGCAGACATTGAATAGAGTCACCCTAGTTAATGGCTATTTATATTTTAGAAGAAATGTGGCATACCTACTGAATGAACAGGGGAGATGTTGAGGCAGAAGCCAGCAATAAAGCACTTATGCAAATCAGGACAGCCATGGGCATTGCCTTACTAAAGGATGGTAGGCAGCCTGCTCTCAGTCTACAGCCCGGTGCTACCCTGGCCCTAAGTAATTAATTAGTGAATTAAGGCCACAACAACAATAGAGAGGTAATTAATTATATATATTATCAACAACAGCAAAATATCAACAATAATAACTCAATACAACAACAACAATCTCAGTGATACTAAGCAATTTACATCTAGGAAGCTCAATGAATACCAATATAAGAACCACTATGCAACAGCAAAGGCACCATAGAGGAGCCTTTCTCTCCCTCACTCAGCAGCACCACTCATTCACACAAGGGAACAGGGGGAAAGACAGAAGGGAATATTGGTCACCCCAACCCATACCCACTTTGTACTCACTCTGTACACAATCCTGGCTCAATGTTGGCCTCTAGCTGCCCCAGCCGTTGGGCACAATGCACCACAGCCACTGCAGTGGCCCTCCTTGGTCACTCACACTCCAGCTTGACCTCTGGCTGCCCCAACCCTCGGGCACAATGCACCACACAGTGCACCACACTCAACAGGAGACTGGAGACATGGAGAGC